GTTAGACTCGCACTTCTATCGAATTGGGCTCTCAGGCAGCAATTTATGTGCGTGTGGCAGTGGTTATCACGATATCGAGCATGTTGTTTGGTCGTGTACTTTACACCGTGTTGCCAGATCTGAGTTATCCACATCCCTCAGGGCCCGAGGAAAACAACCCGCGATACCCGTTAGAGATGTCTTGGCGAGCCGAGATCTCGACTATTTGAATTTAATTTATGTGTTTTTAAAACGGATAGATCTGAGGATTTAGTAGTTAGTGTCATCTTGTGCTCTCCCAAGTTGTTAGCTGCCCATCGGTGTACCCCCATGTTTGTCTTTTTCATCAGAGTGTCGCTTAGTTCGAGATCAAGAGCACATTGCTCTCCAAACCTTGTGTTCACAATTCCTTCCCTGCCATCCATTTGTTACAATTTGTCACCCCTAACCTCGAGATAGCCGCGAGTAATCGGCCCCCGCTTTACTAACGTTAGTTTTAAGTAATTTTGTAATCTAATCAATGAATATTGGCTCCGCAAAGCTATAGCAAATGAGCCTGGAAAAATAAACGCATTATAAAAAAAAAATGAGAAAGCGCAACGACGAACGTACACTTTTCACGGGCTTCTCTGCGCTGTTACTTAAGACTTGTATCTGCATAGAAATCGGGTGACTTAAGTAACATCGAAAAATATTTTGATCGGAAAGTGATTACGTCAAAAAGCAATTTGACTGGTAAATAAATTTAAAAATGGGATGGGATCCCATATTCGGACAATATAAAGACTGGACTCGGAAAAAATGCGACACTTTGTTTTGGGTGTAACTTTTTATCGCGTGGGTAAAAATTAATGAAATTTTGGGTAATACTAGTTTAGAATGTTATGTATATATGTGTATATATCGCGATCTGTCAAGTAGTTTTCAAGATGCATTCGCAACAAAAAGAGCTACGCCAGCAAATCTTGAACGCGGTGATCGATAATCCTGGTCAGTCGCACAGATGGATCGGCAAAAGGCTTGGAATCCACCATTCGACCGTGTCCCGCGTTGTGAAGATGTTCCAGGAGACGAAGACCATCGAGCGGCCAAAAACCGATTACGGAATACCCAGAGAAGGCGCGGAAGATAAGGCAGTACTTTAAGAATAATCCGAACGTTTCCACCCGAGACGTGGCCAAAAAGGTCAATTCGTCGAAGTGGTTCGTCCAGCAGACCATGAAGCGGGCTGGGCTACGTGTTTTTAAGGTCAGGAAGGCACCAAACCGGACTGACAAGCAAAACGCGGTGGCCAAATTGCGTGCGCGGAAGCTGTACCGTGAGTGGCGTCCCGCATGGATGTTCCGGAATAGTTCCGGAATAGAAAGATGGACAAATTCGCGAAGAATTACCTGTTGTGGCAGGCGATCTGCGAGTGCGGACGGTACAGCAAGCCGTTCGTTACAACCGGCACCATAAACGGGCAGATTTATCGAGAGGAATGCTTGCAGAAGTGCTTGCTGCCCTTTCTCCGCTCTCACCGTGGTCCCACGCTGTTCTGGCCGGATCTCGCTTCGTGCCATTACGCCAAGCCTGTAATGGATTGGTACGAAGCGAAGGGCGTTAATGTGGTCCCGAAGGAGGCGAACCCGCCAAATACACCAGAACTTCGTCCGATCGAAAAGTTTTGGGCGATAATGAAGAAGAAGTTGAAGAAAAGCGGAAAAACATTCAAAACCGATGAAGCTTTGAAGACAAACTGGGAGAAATTGTGTAAGGAAGATGGGCAAAGCCTCGCCCAAGATCTCATGAGAAGTTTTAAGCTTGGGGGAGGAAATTCAATAAATAAATTATGCCAAAACATAGATAATATATAGTTATTTAATCCCTGAAAATTTGAGAAGTATCCGATTTAAAATGAATTTTTGGTGATCATTTTTGTGTGTCTCATTTTTTCTGAGTCCAGTCTTTATAGTGTAATATAGCAGGAGCTTCGATTGACACTGATAGCTCGACTTTGTTTACCTTTGATATTTTCGACGTATTGAAAATTTGCTCTTGATGTTTCAATCAATCATATTCATTGTGATGTATTGAACATCAATAACTGGTAAAAGTTGATTGAATATTACTGTCATTAATATGATTTGTTCCCAAATTTATCGTTTAGCGCAGTATTACGAACGGAATGACGAATGTGCAGCAGTTTGAATGTAATATTCAACTTTTTTTCTGTTTTCGTCAGATGTGGTATGTGTCTCCAGTGGAATGCCTTAACCACTTATCATTTTCAAGAGATTACATCTACTAAATTGACCTGAAAAAACTGGCATCACTGATAAGTTCGAAATGTGGTGGCTTGCTTAACGCTTCAGTGGCGCCACTATGAAAAATGCGAGCACAAACCATATTTGCGATAAATGTAATTGTGATTCTTACGTCTGTTTGTCTGTGCCACTACCTTGTGATGGAAAAAGTGCGTGAAAGACTTTCCATTGTTAACGACATTCGGTATACATACCAGCGTCTACCCGATCGTCTACCACGGTACACAATCTGAAACTACTTAAGGTTGGAATTAATCATTTTGTTCGACCATTTTCCACAGAGATGGCGCTGTTCCGCTGGTAGGAAGTGATAAAAATCCCCATATAGAAATTGAGAGATTAATTCGCCTCCGGTGCATATTCAGGTCAAAAAAAGTGAACGACAACCTAAAGAAATTAGTCAGGGGCTTTGTCGTTCAGTTTTTTCCCGGAAATTAATGCTCAACAAGCTACAATAAAATAAAAATGATTTTTCCCCATACAATTTTACCTGCTTTACTACCAGTCCCCAGAGAGCCAAAAAATTCAAATTTGAGAGAGAAATCCTCTCTCACGAGCTCAATCTCTCAACATGCCATGTGTTTTGTTGACACTCGATTTGTGATTTCCCTTTCAAAGATTACAAAATAGAGTACCTGACACTACAAAACATGTCTGGTACATCTATATATGCATTTGCTTTAACATTTGAAGTCCCTCCTTTTTTACATATTCTGCGCAAAACATACTTTATGCTCCGCCCCATATATAAATATCGGCGGGAAATTCTATGAGGGGTGAGCTATTTTGTGTGCAGAATGTGATAAAAAGGAGGGACTTCGAATATTAATCTAAATGCATATATAGAGGTACCAGACATGTTTTGCACTGCAGTGTCCTCTGTGAACAATTATAGGAAAACAGATTGTGCTTAGTTTCCGATAGATGTCACCGCAAACAACAGCTGTGACATCTGATGGAACATGAATGCAGAAGCTTGACAAAATGATCAATTCCAAGAGCACAAATATCAGCTCTCACAAAACATACAACAATGAAACTGGAACTTCATAGTTGGTTGGAAATGCTATCTAACATGAAGCTTTAGTGTGATAATTTATTAGCTAGAGAATGGTCTTAGAAGAGGGTAGGTAGATAGTTCCGTTAGAGTACGGCAGTATAAAAATTGAATAGAAGTTGGAAATGAGCGAAGGGTCATTGATGCGACAGTGCAAGTCAAACGCACACTCTTTGCTCAACCCGTACGATGTACGTGGAGATTTGAAGTATGCCTTCAAATCTACAGGCAAAAAGTGTGCGCCTGACTTTGCTCAAATACTGCCTGCGGCTGTGGAATAGTTCTAGCGCCGTTTAATCACTACCTAAAACCCCACGTTGCCGCTAGAGCTATTCCACAGCCGCAGGCAGTATTTGAGCAAAGTCAGGCGCACACTTTTTGCCTGTAGATTTGACGACATACTTCAAATCTCCGCGTACATCGTACGGGTTGGGCAAACAGTGTGCGTTTGACTTGCACTGTCGCATCAATGGCCCTTCGCTCATTTTGAACTTCTATTCAATTTTCATACTGCCGTACCCCAACGGAACTATCTACCTACCCTCTTCTAAGACCATTCTCTAGCTAATAAATTATCACACTAAAGCTTCATGTTAGATATCATAAAAACACTTTGAATGAAACTTCATGTTTGCTGCGGGGCAACACGCAAGGAGTTCCAAGTTCATGAGCGATGTCAAAACAGTGCCCGACAAGTTTGTGCTGTTGTGTGTCCAGTAAGCTGTCCATAATCCATCTTCCCGTACAGTTCGTCGTCCATGAGGATGCATCCATCGTGCTTTGTAAGAACCTCATTGTACAACTTCCGGGCACGTTTTTTGGCCACTATATTATGCTTCAGTGTCCTGTTTTGTTGCTTACTGGTCCGAAAAGATCGAAATCCTTCTCGCTGACGAATCCTTCTGACGGTGCTTTGGCTGGCATTGAATTTATTGGCGATAACATAATCCGACAACCCTGGGTTTGCCCTAACCGTTCTCAACACCTTCAAATGCAGCTTCCGATCCTAAGTTCCACTACGACGCTTGCTATGATCCTGCCGATCGATAGTATGCCGCTCACGAAAACGTTTGAGAACACTGCACACGGCCGATTTACCCAATTTCAACGACTTCGCGATGTTTGAACCTGACCACGTCGGATTTTCCAGGTGGGTGTCCAAAATTAATTTTTGATTCGCGGCTTCCATCAAGTATAACCTAAGAGGAAGAGGTGACAATTGGCTTCTTACTCTTTAATGTCTTTCTCTATCTCTATCTTTATCTATCTCTATCTTATGCACATCAAATCAGCCAATCACGAGCTGGTTCACGTTTGACAGAAAAGTGGTTCATTTTTGCCCCCGAGTTTAGATAGGGTAAGTCAATTGATCAAGTCAGTTGAATTCAACTGACTTGAACGCGAATTGAACGTGCAAACCATGCCATTCAACTGACTTGATCAACTCACTTGAATTGAAAAAAAGTTGAACCAGGCGCAACTTTTCAAGCCAATTGAAATCAACTAAGATGATCATTTGACTTGCCTAATCTGGAGGGGAAATATTGAAACACAAAATCAGACTTTTTTTGATTTTGCGTCAATATGTTTATCAATATTTTCGTCGTCAATATTTGCATCAATATGATGGTCAATACTTTTGAGTTGTTTGCCCGTGTGGTGCCTGCTTCATTCTAAAAAGCCTGTGCTCAATACATAATTTATTGGATGTCTATTTACATTCACATTTTGTAGATCATCTATATTAAGCTACACTGCCCTCACTGTAGACTTGCCTACTCGAAACATTGATCCCAAAAATGTTCCATTGTGTGATATAAATGCTGCTGGACACCAGAAAGTCCATGTGCCTCATCAGGGTAACTCTGAAATCGAAGATTCATTCATTGTGGTTCATTCCAGAAAATAGTCAACTTCCTCCCCGAACTTACCATCTGCTCGAACTCGATATCCTCGTCAACGAGGGCTCGAACGAACACCATCGAATTCTGGTAGTGCACATTATCGTCGGCATTTCCGTGAATCAACAAGAACATGTGATTCTTCATGCCAGCCACATATCGACTAACGTCACTTTTTTCGTAGCCTTCCTCATTATTTCCCGGCTGTGGCAAACCCATGAACCGTTCCGTATAAATAGAATCTGAAAATGATCAATCTCTCCATAAGACCATCAAAATCACAAGTCCTTCCCGGCCGCTTACCATAGAACATCCACGAAGTCACCGGAGCAACCGAAATGCCACACTTGAACACCTTGTCACTGTCCTTCTCCAGCGTCATCGACGTCACATAGCCACCGTAGCTCCATCCCCAGATACCGGTCCGTTCCCGATCGATGAAACTGTACTTATCCTGCAGGTAACGCGTCACGGCAATCTGGTCCTCAATCTCAACCGTTCCCAGCTGATTATTGAGGGTGAACAAGAAGTTAAAACCCTGGTTGGCGGTACCGCGTCCATCGATCTGACAGTAGATGGTCTTTTTCGTTGTGGTCAAATAGTTTCCGAACCCGATCGTGAAGGTGTCGATAACTCGAGCAGAATTCGGTCCACCGTAAACTTGAACGATCATCGGGTGCTTTTCGTTGTTGTTGGCAAGATTTTCGAAATCGATCTCCGGTGGCAGGTACAACCGGACGGATGCTTTGTATCCACCGGCGACTGGGACCTTGAGGAAGCGGACTTTAGTTTCCTTGTAGGCGGTCAGCTTGGTGCGAAGAGCTTCATTCATTTCCCAGTCTGCCATGTGCTGTAGATCATCGGTTCGGTAGATTTGCGAGTACGAGGGAGTAGGACCGGAGCAAGTTGCAGCAAAGTACGAGAAGTCGGTACTGAACGATACGCTGGCGTAGTTGCAGGACGCATCATTGCTGAGTTTGTCCTTGAGCAGGCTGCAGGTTAGACATTCTCCGTCTCGGTAGACGTGTCGGGTTTGTGGAGCACTGACCGGGACGGCTGTATAGTAAAGGTTGTTCTTGGATTCGTCGATCCCATTGATGCTAGTAACGGTGAACTGTTCGGGGGACTTGTAGGTAATGCTAGAACCGTTCAACTCCCAGACTCGTCGCCAACCGTTGGAATCTCCCAGGAAGAAGCAGCGATCGCCAGTGCTAGTGCAGCGAGGGGTGTACAGGTCGTACCATCCTTTGGGTTCGTCGACTCTGACAAGCTAATGGAATGTGTTATGATCTCGCAGCAAGACCGTAAGACTTGGTAACCTACCTCAGTACAGTCCCGCGTAGCTACGTTGCAGCGCTGGTAGGTAACTACATTTTGTCGTCGATTCATCCAGATCGCTCCCAAGTCAGATCCAATCCAGTTGACCGTTCCGAGGATATGATCTTCGCTGACAATGTTTTCGGGAGCTGGTAGCTCATGCCAAACACGTCCATTCACCGTCAAGTCCATGACTCGCAGATGTACCGTTGGATTAGTGGTGTTAACCTTGGGATATTTTAGAGTATACTCCTCCGGATATTGGTTGTTGGGATCGTCCGGTTCACCGTAGATGTGATAGGTGAACTCCCTTACTTTGGTGTCATTGAAACTAGCCATGGCGATGTGGGTACCGTCATTGGAGAACCACAGCGTAGCGTCAGTTCCGAAGACTTCCTCTGTGAAGTCGGGATAGGTGTTAGATTAACTAATTGCAATCTCTGGCACATATTTACCTTCGTACACCCAATCGGGAACGCCGTTGTAGATTACTCCAGCGACTCCGTCCTCCGTCAGGAGTTCCTCATCTGTGCTCAGCAGCTCGGAACGGTAGTGTACATTATTGTTCTTGACGTAGGCCAAAGATTGGCCGTTCGGTGAGACGATACAGACAGACACTTCTTCTTTATTGGCAACATCGTACGTGTTCCTATTTGAATACCCGCATCATTAGCTTATATGGAAGAACTAGTAAAAAAAATCTACCATACCCAGTGGAAATATCCAACACAACATATTTCGAGAGAGTTGAATGTCTGAACACGGTTCTCGTGGCGTACCGGATCAATGCCTTGTTCAGGTCGGGTTTGATAAACTGCACGGATGCGCCTGGCCAGTCCGTCTGAAATTTTAAATTCCCCTGTTAGACGAACAAAAGCCCCCTGATCTGTTCAAGTCTCACCAATGCACTAGATTCCAAGACTACAGTTTCCGTTTTGTCTTCAGCGTTGTACTTGACGTAGCCACCATCGGCTTTGCGATAGACGAACTCCTTCCCTGCAAATATTACGTCAGCATTCAGCAGCATGTGCAAAAATCAATTTTCAAACCAACCCGTCACCCAATTGCCATTGAATCCACGCTGTCCGAATTGATTGGGAATAATTTCGTTCAATGGAAAATCCTTAAGTTGATCCTGTTTAGATTCCGTTGGAGCAGCCTCCGTTGTCGCCACCAGGATAGCCAGAATGGCCACCAGAATCGGCTTCATGTTGCGATTGTTCGATCTTAAAATAAATATCACGTGATTACGGAAAGCTTCAACTCTTCGTCTGTTTGATGAGGTATTCAACACTTGTATTGTCGCTAGACTTGAAAACCGAAATGACCAACTCGCGACAATCGATTTTACTCTTGTTGTGTACGTTAAAGATAACGTCGCATCTAGTGCGAACTATAGCGCATCATTTGACGAATACAGCGCACTAGATGCGACGTTATGTTTAACGTACATAACGAGAGTAAAATCGATTGACGCGAGATGGTCATTTCGGTTTTCAAGTCTAGCGACAATATCTTTCTCCCAGTCCTTAGTGCAGCACTATTAACCCAAAACTTACAACGCCCTATCAGCTCTCTTTATCCAACACCTTTGAATCACTGAACTTGACGAACTGACAAACCTAGTCCAAGTGTTTTATTGATCGACCCAATGAAGAGGGTGTTAATCTTATCTCTGCGCCAAGTTCAAGACTACAGTAGACATTGCATTGTTTCCAAAAGCGTCGTTGGTATTAGTTATCAACGACCTAGCGAAGGAAGCTTTAGCTAATACCCCAATTGACAGCAATTGAAGACGGGGACACGGAATGGAGGAAGAATGGTGTTGCTCCGCGGCATGCTAGAAATAATTATGAACGTAATCTTCTGCGGTCTGAATACAATGGATTGAAGTGTCGAAAAAGTAGTGAAAATTTGCCTATCGCAAAAATGACGCCAGTTGACGACCTTTACTTTCGGGACACATTATGTTCATGTTGCTAAAATGGGTATGCATGCAGGCATTGCTGAAATGTGAAACAATTGTATCACAGTGAGGAACTCAGAGGTATCCATCCTGAATTCTTTTATCAGTTTAACGTACTTAATAAATAATCCATTAAGGTGAATCACTTTAGAATACCTTATTTTTGATTGATCTTGAAATCTCAAGAGCACAAATTTCAGCTCCCACAAACCATGTGTGGAAGTGATAGGGCATATAAGTGTAGAGTGAAGGATTTTTTTCCTTGATTTGTTTTCCATCGATCTTGTTTTCCATACTGAGTACCAATGCTACCGATGCCAGAGAGGCAGCTCCCACACAAGGACCCTACCTAGCGACCCTTCAACTCATGGACCGGAGACCAACGGTTTTACTTCCCTTTCGAAGGAATCCGTGATCAGAGATTTTAGGCCTCAGAAAACCCCGATGACGCCGACTGGGATTGAACCCAGGCCTTTTGGAGTGAGAAGCAGTCACAATTACCACTACACCACCAGTGCCGCTTGTAGTGAAGGTTTGGTTAGCGCCAATCAATAAACGAGTGAATTGAGATTTTCAAGTCCGGTTGTATTGGTGCGATATGTGAGAGCGTGTTAGTGAATATCCGAGGAAAATACATAACAAATCGATGTCAAGCTCATTTTGACAGGTCTACTTTCATACATTTTCTAGATTAGCCAGAGGAAAATAATAAACAACTTTACACGGCGTTGCTTCCGCAAGTGTGCGTGCGTTAAACGTCACTAATATCTATAGGGTCTCGTTGAATGTTCGCGTGTTTTGCCCTTTTCTATACAAAAACCAAGGGGCAGTACAGTTTTTGATCATGAGCAAAATCAGAGTTAATGGATCAATGAAAATCTACAGGTTTTGACTATACTGTGGCTACATTTTACATTTGATAGTCCATGTACAGTAGCGCCAAAAGCATGCTGTGGTGGGTTCAAAACTTGATCAATTTTGAGTCACTCTGAGAAACTCTGAGCAACTCTGAGTAAAGGTCCAAACGCAATATGGGCGGAAGCGGAACGGAAACGGAAAGTTTGACAGTTGTCACAAATGACATCAAGATGCCTAACCGAAGTCGATTTTGTTCTAACTAGTTTTCAATCCGACAAGTAGGCTGACTCAGATCGGGTTTTTTCCGCTGCCGCTGCCGTTCCGCTTCCGCTGACATTGCGCTAGAGCCTTAACTCGCGTTGATCAACATCAAATACATATAGCAACCTGATTTTTGTTATGAAATATGTCATAATTGGTGCGCTGTAGCCGATTGACATATTTTTCAACATTAATTTCATAAGCAACTGAAAACTGGTGCTGAAGTTCTTCCGGGTGTGATACTTGTGGTGCTGTTGAGGAATTTGCTGGATTGTAGAATTCCTATTGGAATAGACTGCGTTTCAGCTCAAGAGCGGATAGTGTCCATATTTACACCAACATCGTTGGCCCATAAACTGCAATTCATCGCAACAATTGGCATTTGATTTCCTTCTAATTCTTCACAAACTACGAGAATGAAATTGATGATGACAACTTGACTATACTTCATCCAAAAGCACACGGAACGTCGTCATGAAGGTCATATCCAGGAAGAACAAAAACGTTATTATGTCATAGAGAAGGGCTACTATTGACCCTACCTGCCAGCAAACGTATATCTCCGGGCACAAGCTGAGCAAGGCCTCGATGCAATAAATCTATGAGCTATCTTCATCTATCATTCATCAAGACCGCTTTGTATGGTTCTTCATTGAACACTTACCTTATATTAAATATACTTTATTTGTTTTCTAAGATACTTCCCAGACCATTTACAGACCTTGCGACAAACAATAAGATGCACGGTGTTACTGGCAACCCTGTAGGGATGAGATGGATAGATAAAAGGAGTCGGACCGCGAGTGCAAGTCAGTGCACAACTCTAATACAAAGTGTATTCGTATATTGTTAATCTCTTGGGTAATCTACGATAATAAAGCACTGGAAAACCCTACACGCTCTTCGCATCAGATGGAAGTAAAGGCGTTGCGAACTACTCAGAAGAACTACTACCATGTGCTAACAACAACAGCCTCGGTGACTAATTAACCACTTCATTCGAGCAGTTGAAATGACGTTTACTACCACTCGAACTTTGAACTAAAACATTATTTTTAGATTTTTTTTCTAGAACCACGAGAAAAGTAGCCATCATTTGTGCGTTTCATAAAAAAAAATAGAAATTAGTTAGTCCAGTTTTGTGGAATCGCTGGTAGAAAGTTACGCCAAGAATGCTTGACAAAGTGGTCAATTGAACCCAAACCTGTTTAAGCGATGGCGCCAAGTTCCAGGTGTTCAAAAGGCTATTATCGATGAGATGTTTGCAACTTTCGATCATCTACCAACGAACAATCTGAAAATGCTAATGTGTTAAGTGTGGCTTGTAGAATTGAGTAACAGCGAAGACAACAAATCAAGAAGACTGGCAACTTTGCCAGAATCCAAGCGACAGATACAGTAGCGCTGCGCTTGAGTGAAGGTGGAAGCAACGCATAGAAAAATTAGCAAATACACAAACCCTTCGTCTGAGGATGTAATCTTTGGTATCAAATTCGTTCGAAGCGAAGCATTTACCTTTGAGCGGCAGATGACGCGATTGTACCATAGAGGTAACTCTAAGACCACTGGGTCCCGAAGAAAATCATTATTATTTTTGGCTCACTCAGTACCAGAACAACGGTCCCAAGCAGTCCCAAGCTATTTCACTCACCCCTGCATGTTCTGCATGAATCCACACACCCCTGATGTTATCTGTCAAACTTTCATAGCGAATCAAAACAAACATAGTGTAGTAATAGAATTTCAACTAGAATAGGGTACGTTAATCGTTTGCTTGGGACCAATAGGCTACTAAAGTGGTGAGCCAATTTAAAATCGTTAGTTTCGTATTGATTGTTGATTGTACCCCTCTCATAGCGTTCGTATGAGAAAATGGAAGAGTTGCCAGTCTTCTTGATTTGTTGTCTTCGGTAACAGTTAGTCCAGTTTGGCTCGTTTTTGGATAGAAAAAGGTAAAACACGCGAACATTCAACAGGATCCTATTCACTCATTTATAAATTGACGCTAACCAAACCTTCGCTACTTTGTAGTACAAAGTCTATGCTTTAAAAAGAAAAGTTTATGTTTGCCACCTTCTCCCCTATATGCAGTCAATAATCCAGCTTTCCATGCTCGGTAATGGCGGCCTGTTTGTATGAATAAATGTATCCTTCACTGTGCTTTTTGACACTAACTGGAGGGCGTATGTTGTTCCATTTTCTACTGTTCCTGGTAGAGGGAAAGGGAAGGGGTTGAAATTCGAACATCCAGATAGTGTCAAAAAGCACAGCGAAGGATACATTTATTCATACATACAGATTTCTTGCAAAATCATGTATTTCTTGGCAAACTTTGAAAGTTTCTGCTGCCTTACTTCCTCCGAAACATCAAACTTATGCTGGGCGGTGAAGAACAGTAGCCCCGGAAGCCGCCGGAAGTCCACCTTGGCGTAAGTCTCATCATCCAAGATCAGACAATGAGGCTTCATCTGCATCTAGATGTACAGTTTCCGGGCCCGTGACTTTCCCAGCGTATTTTTTGAAACTGACAGCGATAAAATACAGTGTAAACAATACCCTAGAAAATACTTCTACTCAAATTTTTTAGAGAAAATACCCAATGAGTAATTTTCTACAGCGTTTTTTCTGTGATGCAATTTGATGTGGTACACCCTTTATGTACATCTTTTTATGCATGAATTCACAGCCATAAGCATAACTAAAGTATCAAGTTACATAATTCGGTTCAAAATACCGAGAATCCTACCACGGCTATCGCGGGTTCTTAAGAAACGGGCGAGAGCATATCGACGGAAACTTGAAAAACCACAATGGAAAATGTTGAAACGCTGCTCCCCCTGCGGGTTCTGATGTTTAAAAACAAGCTATTGGTTTGCTTGATGCTAATTTGCTCCGTTGAATAACGTACCATATGAAAGATGTGTTTTCCGGAAAATGGAACAGTTGAATAGTGAAACAGTCGAGAAGTTCATCCATAGTCTTCGGGATCAAGGCAGACTTTGCGATTATGGAGTGGCCCTGGAAATGCGGATTACCGAACAGGTCTTCGATAAGTGTTGTATGGATTTTCTGCGGGAATCGATATTGAAGAAAAAGCTGATGATGGTGCAGCAAATAGCAGATGAAGGTCGGATTTTGGAAACGGTAATGAGGAATAGAAACCAAATGAAAAAGTCTGTCGAAGAGGATTCTGTCAATTTGGTCAAGAAAGTTGCTCGCCACCTGGATCGGCACGAAACATGTTTCCGATGCGGAAACCCAGGACATTTCGCAAACGACAAAAACTGTCCGGCCAAAAGTAAAGTGCAAGACCAAAACTGTAAAGGCAACAACAAGCAAATCTCGAGTACGTCAAGTCCGTGAAGACTATGATTCTGTATCGGATTCATCGGAGAGCGAGAGCGGTGAAGCAACGTAGAACGATGTGCAGCACGTATATGCAACCAGCACTGATGCAGACAAGGTAACATGTTACCATAGAGGTAACTCTAAGACCAGAAGGTCCCGAAGAAACAGGCT